AGCTTCCGGTGAGTGGTAGAACACATGACTGCCTCATGTGGGCCTAAGGCATCCCACAAATCCCGTCTCCCTTTATTGGGGGAAGGGGACAGGTACAAAATTGGCATAGTGGTGGCCACAGGCCCCCACCCCTTCGATGGCGCGCTGTGGAAAGCCCCTCAGGGAGGGGGAATGCTGCTTTTCTCAATTCACTTCGTTCGGCCTGACATTTGCTGTGAGACTCTCCTCCACCATTAAGGACAAACATGGTAATGACAGAGTGCCGCTGAGGAACCTGCGGAGCGAACGGAGAGCTTTACCCGGGACGCCTGCTTGAAGATTGGGTGTCGGCGGTGGGCTTTAAGTCCAAGGGCAGCTCAGGGGACAATATTGTCACCAGATGACCTATGATGTAGGTGCAAATGGGAAAGATGATACTTCAGTAATGCTATCCACGCGCTTGCAGAATGGATGCCGAGTTCTGTTTGTTTTACCCCCCCACCCCCCCATGCATCGCGATGAAACTGGAACTGTCCCCCCACCACCACCACCACCACTCCAGCCTTTTTCCAAATGTTTGAGGGACAGATAGTGAGAGAGGGATGGAGAGAGAGAGATGGAGAGTGAGTCCGCCTTCTCCTTCATCACTACCTCCTCAGAAGTTCAATTTAGCTGCTCGTGGGACGACTTTATTGTAGCCTGGGGTTTGAAAATGAGTGTGTTTGTACTCGGGGAGACAAGGGAGCGTTTGATCCTTGTGAATCAGATAGGTGGCCATGACTCACTCTTTGGGGGGGGATCAGTTAATTAGGAGTGCGTCGTGGAGCATTGCGGGGGCTGGCCAGGGCAGGGAGGAATGTCACCGCTTCTGTTTTTAGCCTTTGCGCTGAGACCCCGCGAGGCCTCCTGATCAAGCACTTCCGGCTCAGAAAATGGGCCCCAGCACTCGCGTCCCCCACGCGTGACTTCTCCTGTCGGGGTGGGGGGGGGATGGCGGATGTGAGGGGTGTTACGTGCCCATTATCGCCTCCGCACGGACGTTCCGGGGATTCCCTTGTGCTGTTTTTAAGGTAAATGGTGGCACTCGGAGTACCGGACGGCTTCCCATTCTCCAGTAGGCACTGAAAATCGGCTGTTCATGTGTGGATGGAAAAAACAAGTGGGCAGGTCTCTCGGTCTGAGCTATAATCCATCAGTACGTTCCAGAAAACCCCCCACCAATTTGCTAAAGAAGGCTTGTCCCAATAAACATCTGAGGTCCTCAGTAATCTCATTCAGGTTCTGATGAAGTTCTGATGGACTTGTTCTTCTTGAGGAGTTTCACATGGGTTAGAGGTCCAGTGGTAAGTGATGAAGCCACGAGCTGTTGACCCACCTCAGCACCTGTCGTTATGTTCCCCTACTGTCAGGTACCTCAACGCCATCCAGACCATGTGTCCGCACATACTGCGCTACCTGACCACGGCGGTCATCACCAACAAGGACGTGCGCAAACGCAGACAGGTGCTGAAGGATCTGGTCAAGGTCATCCAGCAGGTACTGGGGACTGTCATATCTGCCCTCTACAGTTGGTGGGAGGGGCAGGGTCTGTAGCAGGCGTTGCTCATTCTGGAATATTCCAGGAGCTTTCTGGGTGGTTAGCTGGAGAGATGGATACACCTTACTTTTACTTTCTGATTTGCGATTACAATAATAATAATTACTTTTATTGTTGCCCATGGGCAATACTTTTATTGTTGCCCGTGGGCAATACTTTTATTGTTGCTCTTTGTAGAGTAAGCTGTCTGTGAAGGGCAGCCTCCTATTGGGGGCGCCCAGGGAGCTGGGGGTTATGGGCCTTGCAACAAGGACCTGCAGACGCGCTGAGGCTGGGTTTGAACCGGCGACCTTCTGATTATAGGCACACAGGCTTAGCCAACTGGGCCACGCTCTGCCCCCTATTCTTGCGTAGACACGGTGAGAGTCAGCTGCCGTCCAGCAATCCTGGAGCAGGTGAGGTTAAGACCCAGCAGTAATAAGGTTACTCTGCCGACCATGGGATTGGAAGCCATGACCTTTCAGGCGCAGGCATGGATGCTGTGACTTGAGCTGCATAGGACTCCTCTTGTGATGGACGCCCGTGGTCTGTCGATATCTCGCCCTAAGACCGGCCCTGTCGCCCGCAGCCTGATTGCGCTTGCTGCCCTGCTCTTGATGGGCATGCCTGGCACCCTCCCCGAGCGGCAGCGCGCCCTCCTCCGCTTTCTTGTTTATCGGTATTTATTCCCAGCGCTTGCCCTCATGCGGCACTGTTTGGATTCGTACCCTTTAAAATGACCTCTTATTGACCACCGTGCAGAAGAAAGCGCTGCTATAGTTTCAGGGAACTGTAACTCTAACTCCCCTGTTTTTGTTTTTTTTTTTTTGCATTCTGTGTCTCTTACCTTCCTCCAGGAGTCCTACATGTACAAGGATCCGATCACGGAGTTTGTGGAGTGCCTCTACGTCAACTTTGACTTCGACAGCGCGCAGAGGAAGCTGAGGGAGTGTGAGTCGGTATGTCTCGTTTTCTTGTCATTATTCGTTCTCCTCCACGTAGGGTTGCAAAATCCTGGAACTTTGTCCTTTAATTCCCATATATCCCCTTCAATTCCCATGGAAAGTTTCCAGTTTGGAATATTTCCAAAATTCCCCATGGAATGGAAAGTTTCTGGAAACTTCTGGCTTTTCAACCCCCCCCCCCCATGTAAGGTGGTCACTGCACGCACCCCAGTGGTTCTGTGCACCTGATTTATCCACAATGCGATTAAAAACTTTTTACCTTGGGACAGGCCTACATTTTTATAAAAATGCAACCAAAAAACAAAAAATTCCAAAAGTCTCGTATTTCCTTTGGTTACTTATGGTTAAGGTTGTCATAGTTGTGATTCTGGCTATGCCCATAGAAATGAACAGATATTCATATCATAAAGATATGAATTTGTGGACTGTGTGTGAGCGTGGGTGCCCGCTCGCCCGCCCGCCTGCCCGCTCGCGCGTGTCGGCTGAGCTCGGGTCACCAGCTCGGAGGGAGTAAACAGCGTGAGTCATCACAGGGGCCTCGGGGGGCACCGTGCACTGCAGCCCCACCCCCCCAGCCTGTGGTATGGTAATTGACGGGAGAGCGTCCTCTTTGTCACCTCCTGAGTCATCGTCCGTCCGAGGGACACTTCCCTGTCACAGATCAGATGACAGCAAGGCTTTCAGGCCTAGTTAAAGATCGAGTCGTCTGCGGTCACAGCTGCTCATGCTGATAGTGCAGGACCCTGGGGGGGGGGGTGGTACTCTGTTCATGCCACTGTATGGCCTGCATGCGAGCGTGATGGAGTGGGAGGGTGAAAGTGGTTACGGGGTGCAGCAGCCAGCAGGAGCCCGTCTAACATCCCCCAGAGGGACTCGAGGAGGGTGAAGGCGGCTCTCTCTCTCCGGCAGCTTGTGCTCTGAACAGCCTCATCACAGCAGCACAGAGCTTCGGGTGGTTTAGTGCGCCCTGTGATTTTCATTTTGGGACAAAATGGCTAGATGGTGCTCCACCCCTCCCCACCGTTTCCTGTTAGGTATGATGGGTAATGAGTGCCTTCCAACTTACTATTAGGGACTTGCTGGATAATCATTGCCTCCCGCCTTCCATTTTAGGATCATTATGGGCAATGAGTACTTTCTGGCCTCCTTTTTGGGACATGATGGATAATGAGTCCTTTCTGGCTTCCCGTTTGAGGCATGATGGGTAATGAATCCTTTCCGGCTTCCTGTTTGAGGCATGATGGGTAATGAGTCCTTTCCGACTTCCTTTTTGGGTCACTATGGGTAATGAATCCTTTCTGGCTTCCTGCATGAGGGATGATGGGTAATGAATCCTTTCTGGCTTCCTTTTTGAGGCATGATGGTTAATGAGTGCTTCCTGGCTTCCTGTTTAGGGCATGGTGGGTAAAACGGCCCCCCTCTCCCCCTGGCTTCCTATTTGGGGCATGATGGTTAAGAGGTTCAGACAGGGGGGGAAATTATTCCAACCAACGCCAAGGAAGGAGCTGCTGTAACCACTGTTATTTTATGACATTCGCGCTGCGGCATGCGCTGCGGCATGCGCTCACAGCTGCGCCTTTTGGACTTTGCACTTGCGTCTGTTTCTGCTTCATTTAATTTTTAAGAAGAAAAATAACTTTGAGGCTTTCTGTTGGTATTGGCTCATAATTAAACTCAGGCCCAGAATCTGTCAGACCGCTCAAAGCTGTTTCACCTTACGTTTAGTGAAAGAAGGATGTGTTTATTTTTCACTGCATTTCTTGCACAAGCATTGGTTTTGTTTTGAACAAAGTAAAATCTCTATGATTTTCATTGAACGTGTTTGCAGGTGCCCGTTCCAGGAACGGGAGTAGATAAGCCGAAGTGTGGACTGAGATTCAGTGACCCAGAGCAGACGGTCTAACTGTGAAGTGCAGAGCTCCAGTGCATGCTCTGCGCCGATGTGGGACTGTGGTACTCGCTGTGGTTTGTGAGCAGCCTGCATCTCCCAGATCGCAGAGGGGAGGAGGCTAGCAGGTGTCTCCCCAGGCCCGCGTGCTGCGCTTACGCTTCCTGACAGCCCGTTTCTGCCTTTGCTTTCTGGATGCAGCCAAGGGTCATTCGGATTCGCCTGATGATTTAATAATTTAAACCTGCTGGGACAGTGTGCCGACATAAAAGTATAACTGTTGGCTTTTTGGCCACTTTTCATCTTTGTTTTTTCACGATAAACGCCTGGAATGAGGAACATCTGGCCCGATTAAACGATCTCTCACAGACGTAAATGTTTATAAATCTTGTCAGTGGTTTTTCTCTGAGGCTCTCATTTGGTTGTCTTTTTTTGTCCCTAATATAAAAGGTCTGCTGCTTTTAGCCGTGACGGAAACTCTAACTGGACTAATTTTCCTCGTGTGTCTTTTGCTTGCTATGCCAGACACTTGCTTGCAACAAAAGGCACCAGAATCGAACCTGGGTTTTCTTGGTGTGGATTCCCAGAAGGCCTTCCCTGTGTGCTGGTCTTAAACGACCAGAGAAGATCCTGAAAAACAATAAATTTGAGACCCCGTGCGCATCGCCCCCCAGTACACGCCCCCACGCACGCTCCTTGCCAGAGATTGAGTAATCTCCGCTTGTCTATAAATTTTGCGAGCTGTTAAAACAGCTAAACAAACTTTCGACTTCCGGTATGGCTGCTTCCTGTACTCGGAACCAGGACGGTCCCGTTCTTATCTGGGAATTAGAGTCAATGGTTTCCTGTGTACCTGACCAGACCCATCCTTATCTGGTAATAGATGTGCAGCATTTCGTTCCACCCTGCTCAGCTCTGCGTTTGCCTGGGTTTGTGGTCTGGGTCGTTCTGCGTAGACTCATATGAAAATTTGTAACAGGATCCTATGCAGGAATGGCACTGGTGCACAGATCTCAGGGATGAACCCTGATAATCTCGTAATGGTCCTGCTGAGACCTTTTGATGAGGGTTCTGATCAATCTTTTGGGTTCTAGTAAAAACCCCTGGTGACAGAAGCCATAGGATATGGGGGGGGGTTTGTATGGTAATAGTTTTTAAGTGCATTTTTACTTTAGCACTGTATGTGCACTAAAAACAGAGGAGACTGTGTACCAGCATATCCCATAATCCCTGCTGGCGTCTCTCCATTTCCAGAGCTCATTTAGTCACTTAGTACTGTGTGTAGAGTCATTGACTCACAGGAAAATCCACACAAGCACTGTGAGAACAAGGCGACAGGCCTGGATTCGAACCCGTGACCCTGGAGCCACGAGATGACGCGAGCCTACTGAGTCACTGTGCCCCTCTGCCCGCCTTCGGGCAGCTCAAATAAAGAGCGTCTAAGTGTGTCCTCGCACTGAGTGGGATAACGTTTAATTTGATAGCTGGAAAATGCTGGAAGGCCACGTTTCCCCGGGGGATGTCCTTTACAGTAAATTACCGTGCACGGAGCGGCAGCGAGGGTCATTACGTGAGGAATGCCGTGGTGAACACCGTCACCCTCCTCTGCTCACCATTCCTGTAATAGCCTGAGTCGGGTGGCGGTGGGGGGCAGCTCTGCTCTTATTCCTCTCCCTGCCGTCACAATGGCCCCTTATTGTCCCTGAAGGTGTAGCGCGGAGCGGTCAGACCGCAGCTGTCGCCGTTGGGCCCGGCCACATGTGTCTGCCATAAGCGGCACCGTCTGTCTTCGCTTGTGTGTTTTCCTCTTTGCTGTTTGGGCAGATGTGCTAAAGAAACCCCACTATGGCCCCCGGGTGCGAGGGGCCGCTCTGTGTTCCTTGAGCGCCCGCCCGCGTATCTCTCTCCCCGTTCCGCATGAGCGTGATCGCAGCACTTAGATCGTGCGGGTTTATCAGCGGGAGATAAGCGCCTTTGCAGCTAAGACGCTCGCTGCGCGATAGCGACGGCTAGCGGGGCTGCGGTGAGATAGGAGTTCAGAGCGGGAGAGAGACGGGCCTCTCATAGGACGCCTACGGCAGAATGGGCGGCACAAGCCAGCCGCTGTGATCCGCTGGCCCGCGTGCGGTGTCCGGCAGCCAGCCGCTGTGATCCGCTGGCCCGCGTGCGGTGTCCGGCAGCCAGCCGCTGTGATCCGACATGTGGTGTCCGACATGGGTGTACCTTTTTAGCCTGCTGTTACTGGCGGAGGTCGCCATGCCGACCGCCTGTCCCCTGTGTTTTTACGCGGGTTTTCTGCCCGGTGACACGTCAGGGTCGATTATAGCCGAGCACGGCGGGAGTCTCGGCTCGACGGTCACGGGTTCGCGTTAAAAGGCCGATCCCGCTCCCAGCGCGAGATGCGCAGCGATAAGTCATGGTCTCTGAGGCCGATCCAGCCGATTTCCCCCCCCCCCCCCCTTTCATGTGGGGATAACGGAATTTGAAGATTGCGGTTTAAGCGGAGTGCTGAGCGTGGCCCAGGATTCCTGTAGATAGGTCTTTAAGCTGAGTGCCAGAGTAAACCACTTTATGGCTTAAATGTGGTGAGAATGGCTGCTTTACCGTCCTGCAGAACAGTGATAACTTCAGTTTCTACTTTTCGGTTGTAATTTGCTTTCGGTTTCGGTGATTTGACTTTTCCCGCAATTGAACCCAATGGCTTCCTGACTTGAAAGTCCGGCGGGTCGTTCGGCAAACCTGCCACCGCGAGTCTTTTACGGTGGTTTTTGACTGATCCTTTCCAAAAAAAAATAAAAATAATAAAACATCAGAATGAGTGATGCTGTAATGATCATTACAGGATGGGCTTGAGCTTTCCCTTTAGTTCTGCTTTGACTCTGCG